AAGTAGCTTAAGAAAAGATTTGAGAGTGGTTTTCAAAAGATATATTATCTAGGATTGCCTAAGAAAATGGTTTGACGTTGACGTCAATGTCATGTTTGAAAACCCACTCTTAAATGTATAATTTTTCATTAAGCACCTTCTTTTCTTTTCTTTCCTTTTTCTTTGGAGGGTGCAGGGCTCAATGCTGTTGCATGACAATCCCTTTCTTTGAAAGTTCTGCTAAGGCTTTCGCTAGTTTTGACCTAATGGAAATTTTTAATGAAGTACAGGTAACATCTGTCAGGTGCTTCAGTGACAACACAAGACAACTTAATGGAGATGCATCTGATAACCAAGGAATTTCACCAGCAGCAAGATTAGTCTTATGAGTTCCTGCTTGTCACAAATAAACTCAATAATACATCTTGGTAAACAGGACGTCAGGGTTTGTGTAATTTTTATGTAAAGCCAAAATAACCCGTCCCCCGGAGAATTCTGATACAGGCATTAGTTGTGTAATATAGAATGAAGATATAGCTGCTTCATTATTCAGATTCAGTGGATACAGGATTCCAAAATGTGTTTCCATTTGCTAGAGTAAATCTACTCCTAGAGCCCTATCATAATATCAGCACTATGAAGTCCATCATTCTACTTCACAGCATATAACATTTCAGTTTTGTTACCTGAAAGTCTTATCTTTTCCAATTGAAATAAGACCAAATCTGAATCATTCCTCATCATTTGGAATCATGAAACCTAAAAAAATCTTCTCTGCAGTGTAAGGTAATCTTACGTGTTGTTGCCAGGCTTACCCATCTTTAAGACACCAAAGCTGCAGAAGTATAGCTAAAGCAGAAGGCCTCAAAAGTCTGTGTCTGAGTGACTGTAGCATGAACTTTTGCAGATGTAGCAACTAGCGTGGTCAGCAAAGTTGGAATGTTCATATGTTTAACTAAGATGCAATCAAACAGAGCACAAGGATAAGGAAGAACCATATATCAAATACTCTATATACACTATATTATAGCTTTATCTTAAAATATTAGAAACAGTAATTAATGCAACCAAATGTATTGAATGTTATTTTGCTGTAATATTTTTGGATTTTGTTAGAATGCTTAGATAAGTTATAAAAACAAAGCAGCGTTGTCAGACCATAAAGTAAAATGAAGAAGTAACAAACCAGTGTGAAACAGCATTTCACAATGGGAAGGGAAAGGCAATAAGAAACCCTCCTTTTTGCTTTTTTTGGTTTTGCAGGAATATATATCTCAAACAATTAACACCTTCCAAGTCCACAAGGCATCTAATTTAATCCAATTCTAAAAGTTTCAGTGAGACAAAGACATTGAAATGAAACCAATCAGACATTTATTAGAACATTGGGACCAGCCATTTACAAATATTGGGCATAGGCTAGAGGGAAATTTGGACTTTTACTTTTAGACTTCTAAATCTGGACTTCTCTGGAGCTCAGTGAACCAACTCAAGTCCCCAGGGGAACAGAGAAGTCTGCACAGTAGGCCTGTTTCTTCCCTGAATCTGAGGCTATGTAAACGTTGTCTTTATTGCTACAAATAAGTCCTTGCTATTGCCTTTCCTAAGAAAGCTTTCAAGTTGTGATTTGAATGGTTTTACTGATCAATAAATATCCTCTCTCCCATAGTTAAAATTTGATGTAACAACACTAAACAACACTTTTGAGAGGAATAACATCATATTTTCAGTATGAAAGCTAGTATTTTAAGTATTTGTCAATGTGGAATCTAAGAAGTATTTCATATAGTCAAAGTATCATCTTTCTTGATTTGCAATCTTTCTTTGTTACCATGGCCTGCTAGGTTTTCTCTTTCTCCCCTATGGCTACTAATTAATGAACTAGTGATTTAGAAGAAGTTTTTTTTTTCACATAAGTTTTAATTACAATGAAAGCAAAGTACCTACATATACTTGAGGATCTGAGCCTTACTATTACACTGCCTCTCAGCTATACTAAGAAGCACCAAAGTGAAGCATGACACCCCCCCCATTTCCCTGTACACAATGTGTAGAAATAAGCACAAAGAGTTGCTTCAGAGTAGCGCAAGCAGAAATGATCCTATCAGGGTGCGGGGCCAAGGGCAAATCAGTCTGTGTGGGGCCCCGCCCCCGGACATGAGGAAGGTGGTGGCAGATTCAGGGCGGAGGGGTACGAACAGCCTAGATAGTTATATTACAACCATTTTCTGCCTTGGCATACAAAGAGTGGTCCAACCATTGAATTTTCAGATGAAAAGGGGCACTTACACATCCTCCTCAGCATGTACTTCAAGAATGTCTACCAGATTGTGTCCCACAGGTGAAACTGTCAGAGGAATCCTCCCAGGACTTTGGTGTGAGAGGTGCTGTCAAGACTAAAGCACTGAAGCATGTCCACTAAGGCCACTGACAGGTGTTAAATTAAAGGTGAGATAGGATCTGATGCATAATCCCAACAATCTTGCTTCCTGCCATGCCATTAACTCATGGCAGGAAGCGAGACTGTGGGATCAAGTAACAGAGCCTATTGCACCACATTGCTGGTGCCAGGGGTACCCTGAATCATGATTCTGGGCTCCCCCTGCACCAGCAAGTAGCAAGCTCAGCTGCCTGTGCTCCTTATGCTGCAATGCAGATAGGAATCCCAGTCAGCTGATCAGAATCTCTAGCTGAGGGAGTGCATGGAGCCCTTGGCCACACATTGACTTAAAGACATGATAGAAACCAGCCACTAAGGTATTACATATATTTTGTATGATAATTTTTATGGCTTATTCCTCAGTTTATCACACCATAAATTGGTCCCCCAGGTATGACTGTAAACTGCATCTGACTGGAGGACCTGGTGGCAACATGGTGGAGCTACTTGTGGTGGGGTAACTCCTATAAAATACCACAATGTTGCAACCTCTAGAATAAGGTGAGTATAGGGTGCCTCCAAACCCTAGTCCTCACTGCCTTGTGGGTACTCCTTGGTTGGAGAAAGGCTAAGGGACATCACTTTGATAGAAACACACCCTTACTGAGGCATTAGACAGTCAGCAGCAGTTATTATTTGTTGCTTTCTGATAGAAGCTACAACGATTGAGGCACTGACTGTCTGGACTTGGTCTGGCCTTTGGATTCTGTCTCAATGGTCTAAAGTGGGGTGGGGTGGTAGGTCTTGGGCAACCTCCACTCTTCCATATTCTTGCCTAGGCATATATGTCAAAGGCTGTGATGTGATGCTTGCAGAACTCCATACAAGCAGATTCATCAGACACCTGACTAGACCTCTTGCATGTATCCCATGATCCAGAGGATTACTGGTTGCCTACTAATTGCATTAACATGTGGCTAGGTCACTACTTAAGACCTGATAGACCAGTTAAACATGTCTTAAGTGTAACATCTGTCAGGGGCCTCAGTGACATTAAACCTACATGCTATCCACAGTCTCTGGATACATTCCTTCTTCCTGTTGCTTTTCTGAGTCCTTCTTCCCATTCTGGGGAATTAGAAGCTTTTTGCTAGCTGAGCTTGATAAGATATCAGGAGTCTGTAGGTGAATGTTCACAATTCTAGTTGCTACTAACAGCTGTATGGTTTCTTATTGCTTAGGAATTGAGGATGGGACTTTTACCACCCCCCCCCAATTAGTTTACCATGTGAGGTTCATTTAGCTTTTGTCATTTTTACATCTATTAGACTTCAGCACTTAGCCTTCATAGTTAAAGGACCAAGCAGTGTTCCATTACAAATGTTGTAACAGACATATTGCAATGCACATTCTAACATTTAGTTGAAGGACAAACTCTTCTGATTTTTTTTCTGTGACTACATATTAGACTATTTTCAAAGTGGTATAAGAAAGGATAATTTTCAGAATTAATAACTATAACATATTCAGTTAAAGTATAATTTCCCCCCAAAACACAGTTTATGTGGAACTCTATGTAATTTCAGGGCTGAGTAACAGGAAAGACAGACTTTCCACCCTTAGAATATATTAAATGTGCCCTGATAAATGCAGAGGTGAGGACATCCATAACTAAGCCCTGATAAGGCAAACATTAACAGACATAAGCAATTCTGTTGAGCTCAGTGGGACTATTCATATGCTTGCGGTTACTGATATGCACAAGTGCTTGAAGTACTAGAGCCTTAGTTAGCAATAACAAGGGCCACTAGTTATCCAATGACCTCATGCTAGATCTTGATGTGTTCAGCTGTCAGTGGGGCTCTCCTTGGATACAAGGGGTCAATAGCATGTATCCAAATTCAGGATTTGACCCTCAGTTTACAAGTCCACAAATTACTATCAGTTGCTAATGGTGTTTCTGGTTGTCCTCTACCAGCAATGATTATCAGGATAATTACTGGACACTTTTCCTTTTTTTAAATACAGAAATAAGATGCAAATGTTGACACTAGTGCAATTCTAATGCTGTACTCCCTTTAATGATAAAATCACACTCATATCGTAGGCCCTGGTCATAGAATGAGTAAAAATCCTGATTCAATGACCATTAAGTCAATAGTTCCATTGATTTTAATTAGTGCTGGATCCAGTCCTAAGTACCTATGTAGAGCCCCCATTACTTTGAAGAAACTCTGACTATGTAAGGCCTAAGTTCAAAGAAAATACTGCATTACATTTTGTAGCATTATTTCAGACCCTCTGTTTGATATGATTCAATGCTTTCTCAATGTATATACACTAAAGGATGTAAAGTTACAGTTGTATAATTTATGTTATTTTTCATATTTGCTATCTTTTGAGAGCTTAATTATGAAATTCACTATTAAATTAACATATTTTAATATTTCATCAATTATCATCTATTTCCAATATGAAGTGATCCCATAAAAGCTTCCAAATACTAATATTGAAATACTTGACGTTACCAATATTCTGCCTCGGACTAAGGGAATGACTTCTTACTTTTAAGTTATCTACATTAAATATGGAATAAAACCTAAATGAACTGATATTATTTTTCTCTCCTTCTATAAAACAGGTCTCAGAATACGATTGTTCAATTTTTCTCTCAAGTTATTAAGCTGTTTGCTATATATAATCCGAGTACTCCTGGATGATCCTACACAAGGATATGCATGGTAACATTGCTTTTATATATTTGAACTTTTAAAGTATTTCTTAAATTGTATGAGTAGATCAATCAGGTTTAAACATTTTTATTGTTCTGCCAATAGGTATTTAATTTCAGTTTTATAGGTAGAGCATGAATCACAAAACTAATCTTATATCCTCAAGAAGGATTCAAGTATATAACTGCAAAGGATGTGGCTTGTCTTCAAACAAAAGCTTTTTTGTAACATACTCCTAATATTATATTTACTCTATATTTGTTCACATACTAGAATAGTGTAATGATGCAGCAGTGCAAATACCTCGGTTTATTCTCATTGCTGCATAAAAAATCATGTCTGACACATATAGTGATAATACATTTAAAAAAACCCTCAAACAAATAAATAATCCACAGCTGGATCCTCAGCTTGTTCATCCAGAATGTTAGAAGAAAGCAGGAAAGTGATTGACAGATTAGGAAGAAAAAAAACGTGAGGTGGGAAGATGAACAGAAGATACTGATATTCTCCCTTGAAAGCAGTGGGTGCCTGGCAGGAGGAGGCATCAGTCATACAGTTCTTCTAAACTGGACAGTAGGGCTGTGTGAAGCTTTGGTCCCTAATTTGATTCAGCAGAGATTCAGCCCGATTAAGTGGCTGAATCTCTGAATCTGAATCAAATCAGAGGACCCTTTAATCTTTCCAAATCGAATCGGAACCCTCCCAGTCAATTCAGAGAGATTTGAAAAGATTCAGCAATTCGGACATAGACACAGCTTTAAATGTTTTTTCTACATACCTCTAGGTAGCAGGCAGCTCAGGAATGCTGTAATGCTGGGGCGCATGGCAGGTCCCACAGGACTCGGGGGGTCTGTCCAGCGTGCTCGGCAGCAGACCTGGAAGTGGACAAGAACCACTTCTGGTCCACTTCTGGGTCCACTGGGGAGTGTGTTGGGCCCACCCCCATGCTCCCACCAGCTCAGCAACTGTTGCCTCCTGAGTCTGGTGGGTGGGCACCCAGGGTCATCCTGTGGCCGATCACTGAGACGGGGGCGGAACATGGAGGTGCCCCCCCTCCCAGCACACTCCTTGGTGGACCCAGAAGTGGACCAGAACTATTTCCAGTCCACTTCTGGATTCACTGCCAAGCACATGGAGAGCTACCCGCACTCCTGTGGGATGCTGCATCCACCCCAGCATCACAGCATTCACGAGCCGCTCTGGTACCTCAAGGTATATAGAAAAAATTTTTAAAGCTGTGTCTATGTTTGAATCCCTGATTCTCCAAATCAGCATCAAATCTTCAGATTCAGATTCAGCTGAATCAAATCAGGAACATTGATCCTAAACAATTAATTGAATCCCTGTCCCTGATTCGGGCCAAATCTGAATCCAAATTGAATAGGGCCTGCTTCACACACCCCTACTGGACAGTAATATAGAGGAGCTCTGAATGTGCTGAGAAGCTGCTCCAGTTGCAGTGATTCAAAATCCTTCAAAAATGCAGTTACTTTCCTACATGCTTAGAAGCCCTGGATGGAAACTTACTCCCGGTGCCCCCAAAAGTGTTTCAGCTGTTTCTTCCAGTGCCTAATTACCCATACTCAAGTAATCAATGGTACAGTTCACCCACCACTTGCATGTACTCTTCCACAGAACATGTACATTGCTGCATGACCAATTTCAGCCCTTAGTTTAGATGGACAAACTGGTGGTTCTCGCCACATAATTAAGGGCAAATATGCTAACCACACATGACCCTTGGTTAGCAGTGTCACCAGCTGTTATGATTGTAATGTGAATCTCAGGATATTAAAAGTGCCCAGTAGTCACCTGAGAGTTAAATCTTTCATCTAAATATCTAATTGGCTCTTTCATCTTTTACCTAAAATATGCATTTTTAAAACAAACAAACCACCCCTCATGCTTCTCAAAAAGAGTTTGAGAATGCCATCCAAAGTACTGTAAAAGGCTGAAGGCATAAGCTGTATTGTTCTTTCTTCAAATCCCATTATATTTTGTTGGCCTGACACATGATTTTTGAGTACCTGAATTTGGAAATACTGAATTATACATACTCCTGGTAGTTGAATACTCTCTTCTTCTCTCTTTAAAGTGAAGTCGCGCAAAATAAAAATAATAAAAACTCTAGATACAAAAATACTATATTTTATTGAATCGTGCATTGCTCTACTCCTGTTTCATTTGACATTTAATAATTCAAGCTAGTTGCAAATTTATGAATCTCACTTTCTGCCCTTTTAAAAATATCTTACACAGTTAAACTTTCCAATGCTAAATATGAATGCATGTCACTATTGTTATTCATTAATTATTGCTTCCATAAGATCTAATTCTGTTACACGGGTATTGTGAAAAGGAAGATTCATGAGCAAAGATTCTATTCTCTGGGAAGAAGTGTGATAGACACAGGCCTTTTGGCAGTGCTTTAAGCAGCTGACAACTAGAAGGATTATTTTGCTTTATTATTGGAAGCAGCAACGTGTACTAAGGTTAAAATACAGGAGAACCTAGGATATGAAATAGTAATGAGTCTTTTATAATGCACATTTATAGAAATGCTATATATTTTAAGAAGAGCATCTGAAAGAATGGAAAATTACTTAAAGAAAATAAGCTGGAACTCAGTTATGCATAAGAACAGATGCATTATGCAGATGAACAATGGGAAAAAGAAAATATTATTTTTGAAAGTTTATAGTGCAGATGAGTTTGCTTCTGGGTCTGCTTAGCCACTAAGGGGCCTGCCTGAGGCCAGCCCCAGGGCTGCAGGCTAGAAGCCTAACCTAACCCAGGGCTGGGATGCCTCTACGGCAGCCCCTGTCGTCAGGCTATAAAAGCCTGCAGATATTTTGAGCCCTGGGATGTACAGACAGGAATCCTGAGGGCACTGCAGGCCCCTGTGTTCCCCTGGGCAGGCCACAGCCTAGCTGTGCCTACATCCCAGCACCCCAGCACTGCTGCCTAGCGCCTCCCCACTATGTGGCTGCCAGAAGAGTGCCATCCAGACCAGCAGGGTGCTGCAGGGTGCTGACGGCTGCTTCAGACTCTGACCAGGCCTGCCAGCCCCAAGGGTTACCTGCAGGCAGCCTCTGGCCAGCAGGGCCAGTGCCACCTTCTTGCAGCATACCCGCAGCAGCCTGCCCTGTGCCTGAAGGTGTTGTGGGTCATGGCTTCTGCCATTTGGCTGACTGTCTCATGCCATGGCCCACTGCTGAGCACTGTAGACAGCTGTCTAGGCCCAGCAGCTCAGGGACAGCTCTCTGGGGCTCAGAGAGCTGATGCAAGACCCACCATGGCTTCCTCCCTGTCCATAGACATACCCATGCCCTCTACCTGGGTCCTGAACTGGACCAGGGAGGAGACTGGCAACCTCATGGTACTGTGGATTAATGCAGAGGTGCAGCACCAGTTTGAGCTGGGAGGCTGGTCCAATGTGCATATTTATAAGGTACTGTCAGGTCAGATGCGGGAGCGAGGGCACAACCAGTGAACAGTGTTGCATAAAGGTCAAGTTCTTATGGGCAGTGGGTAACCGTGACTTAACCACAATTGTTGGTCCAGTCTTGCTCACAAGTCCGTACCTTTTATGCTGCAACTGGATGCCATTCTTGTGCCCTGGGACTCAGCCCATAGCTTTGCAGTATACACCAGGATGTGCAGCCTGCCCAAATCCCTGCCCCAGCCTGGGCCCCCAGTGACACATCACTGGGGGAGGGCCCATTGGGTGTCCAGCAGCTTATCCCACCCAGTTACCTGGCTGCAGTTCCCATTAGCAGCCCATGGACCCTTGGCCAGAACCTCCTTTGCTAGCTCTGAATCCCAGGGCCAGGCATGAGGCATTGCCAGCCATAACACTGCCAACCTCCAGCAGCACCATCTTCTCCCTGTGGGGGGTGGGGGTGGCTCCAACAAGATGCCTGGATGCCACAAACTGTGGGCTAAAGACATTGGCCACAGCCTCACAATGTCACTGACAGGGAGGACTGCCCTGAGCCACCAGCCATGCCAGCCCTGACCACATGGTAAGCCCCATGCGGGGTGCAGGGGAGGGCTCTCCCCACCCCAGACCCTATCCCTGCCTCCCTTTTCCACCTGACCTACCCACACTCCCTGACCCTGGGTTCCCCCCCCCACACACACACAGCATACAGAGGCAGGACACAGTGCTAAACTTTTTTGAGCAGTCTGTGTCCCCACAGCTAGGCTAGTATGAGCCTCTCATATGCCAAGGAATACATGTACAGTGGTGGTGATGTCCTCCTCAGCAGTGGGGGGCAGGGACACATAGCACAGCCACAGGTAGCCTTCCAGAGAGTAGCAGAGGTGATGGGACAACCCAGGCTTGCCCCCTCCATGCCATCATAGATCACAGTCCCATACCAGGAGTGTAGGTCCACCCAGGGCACCATAAGAATCAAAAGTAGCAGGGCGTAGTGGGCCGGGAACCCCTCAGTCCACACAAACAGCTCACCACACACCACCTGGGACATACACAGCAGGGGCACACTCAGGTGACAGCAGAGGTGCAGTGGGGGATAGGCCCCAGGGTGCCTCCCTGGAGAGACTCCCAGAGAGGAGGGTGGGGGGCACAGAAAGCATCTTGTCCCAGTTGTCTGGGAGCCCCATGCCTCCCGAGCCTGGGTGCCATGGGCTAGGGAACAGCACAGCAGATTAGTTGGCCTGCAGGGAGAGAAGGGGATCAGCATGGTTTGGAACTGTGGCAGCAGGTGTTGTGAGAAGCCTAGCCTGTCCTGACCTAGGGACGGGGTAGGGGAAGCAGGCTGTCTGTGGCCAGCTCCCAGCAGTTCACTGGCCCCAGGGTAGCATGCAGGAATAGGCGGCTCAGCCAGTGGCTGCCTGGGCCCAAGCTTGCCTGGCCAATTTATCTTAGTCTCTAGATACCCATGCATGGCTGACTCTCAATCTGAGACTGGGCAGCGCATGACCACTGGTACAGAGCATCTTATCTCTAAAATGTTGCAAACTATCACCAAAAGCTTCTG